CTACTACTACTACTACTACTACTACTACTACTACTACTACTACTACTACTACTACTACTACTACTACTAGCTACTGCTACAAGCATTTATTTGTGTATAGAAGCCAATACAACAACAGGAGTTTGACAGGTTGAGTTAATTAATTGCTCCACCTGCATACGCAAAAAATGATATTGCGATATTTATTGGGGGGAAACCTAGCTGACTGTTCTTTCTGGTCTTGAGTAGATCATCATAACCCTGTGCATCAACTCGTCAGAACTTTGGTCAAAGAAACACTATTCTCCACACGTCTTCGTAGTCCTGTCACATCAAATCCTCTGTCCAATTCTTCGTAGCTCCTTCTCTCTTGCTCAAACCACCGTTCTCCTCTTCCAAACAGCACCGATGCTACTCCCATCACACCCGGCCGCCAAAGCCCCTCCTCACCGGGGCAGACTCGGCCGTCGGACGCAGGTCTTGCAGCGCCACGGCGTGCAGAAGCGACGCGATGTGCACCAGCTGCGCCACGTAGCGCTGGTGGTCGGGACCCCCCTGAGGCGGAGCGCGCCGGATCCGCGCCGTGCAGGGATCCGCGGGTTGCAGAAGGCGCAACAACAAAGGCCCCGGAAGTGAAGGGCGGGTTTCAGAGGGGTTTCAGGGCTCAAATGGTCTTCCGGACTCGAGTGATTGGAAAAGACGCTTTGAGGCAGGTCTGAGGGCGGCTTCAGGGGCTTGCAAGAATGGCTGGAAGACGTCAGAGCTTTTCAACAAATAGCTTTTCAAACGGCTGGAACATGCCCGGAGATTGGATGGATCTCGTTCTTCTCTCGGTCTCAGCACCGCGCCGCCGAATTCCGTATCCGTTCGGTTCGTCGAGATGTCGAGGAGACGAAGTGGCCCCATAGTGAAGTACTAAGAGTACCCGAACTGGGGCACTTCAATAGGTACCCTAACTAGGTACCCTAACTGGGAAACTAGTTGAAGAACTCAGGTTACCCTAACCAGTCAAACCATCCTGAAGATAGTCTTGGACGCTGACGGTTGGTCTGTCTCTGCAAACCACCGTGTCTTGAAGGCTGATGGAGTGGCTCTATGACTGAGCCGACCCAAAACGGTCGGCACAGCGGCAAGCACTTTGCGGATGGGAGTGGAGTCACAATGGACCGTTTCGCCGTTGTCCTTGAGACTACCGATGGGTATATCCTTTTTGTCAACCCCCACTGAAAATGATGATGGTTGCGTTGCAGGCCAGCATCTCTAAAAGAGTGATATTCTTGTTTACCGACTGTTACAGGTTTTCTGGGACAGACTCAATAGAGATACCAATTTTATATGCACTTCATCAAGAGTTGAGCGCTCGTCTCAGCTTATTTTTTGAGAGACCACTTCATACCGTTGTTTCCACTTCCATGTGATGTGTTCGTCAGAGGGTAATGAATCGGAGCGTCCACCTGTTGAAGCAGCTCTGTTCGCTCACCGGTCGCATGCGCTGGGCCGCGCTCACCGACCCCCAACCACGCGCTGGGGGTTAGCGCACAGCTGCAACCGGTTTCCGGTGTTTTCGAGCTCAGAAAGCCAACCACTGCGGAGACCTCTCATAGAGAACCGGGACAAAGCAAGGCATCTTCCCCAGACCTGGGAGATTTGACCAATCAAAATCAACCCAATACGCTTGTCAACCGAGCCATGCCTTGTTGCCTGGGATCTCCTCTGCACTCCTGGCAAGCCGTTGGTCTTGGAATCTCTAGGCCGCGGGTCGCTAGACTCGACGTTCTCTGCACTTTCTGTCGCGGGTTTGTTCGCCTGACATAGACTCATAGAGGCAAATTCTAAACGTTTGGTGTGGACCCTCTAGTTCACTAGAGGCAAATTCCATTCCCAAACATCTAGTTCCAGGTAGGAATTATGAGACATTATTGCTTAATTAATTGGTTCATGACTCAGCACGTCTCACCGCGAAGTTGGAGAGTCTTCTGGTGTCTTCGACTCGCAGCTGCAAAGAACAGACTTGGCAAACACCCTGCTCGACATCTGGTACAAACGCGTTGGGGTGACTAGTCACCTGGTTTTGTCCAGACGACTTTCTACAAGACCAAACGACTTACCACAGGTGCTAGTAAGAAAAGGAACTCTGGACCTTGTCTTGAACCTGTCTCATGTTCGACATGAGGCTCGGACATGTATATATTCAAGTAATGATGGCCATGCTCAGCCGCACCCACTGGTTTGGTCTTCCAGAATCAGCCAGCAAGCTTCAGGAACCGGGAAACCAACAAAAAACACCAGTTTTCCATTGTTTTCCCCAGAAGGCCCTTCACCCGGAGGGGAAACCAAGATCACCTGATCCGCAAAGCCAGGGAATTCCAGGCATGTATGTGAAGAATGTCCTGTAGATGTTCAAACCCCCAAAAGGCAACTAAGGGCTGACTGAGGCGATCCTTCCTTGTTTCCTTCCATGTGGGGAACAAATTATCTTCTCTTAAGCATCATAATTGGTATCAATGCCAGTACTGTTTTTTCGCGTGAGAGGGGACCAGCACCCGAAAATGCCAGGTCACCACCTGCCACTCTGGGTCGTCTCCATTTCAGCTTGACCTTTTCGACCTTTTCTTGCGTCCCACTCCCATGCAGCTGGGAATGAAAAGGACTCTCCAATCGTTCAGTCTTTCCAACCCAACTCACAGGTCCCCGGTCGCCTCTCCCAGCTCTCACCGTACAAGTAAGGACAGGAGGCATCTCCTGAGGACAAACGACTGACACGAACATACGTTGGACCCTGTAAGACCACCTACAGTACTTAAGGGTGTCTAGAGTCTCCTCAGTTTTCTCCGAAAGGAGGCGACGGCCGTTCCATCCGGGATAGAAAAAGGGAATGCCATGTTTTCTCTCCACTTCTGTTGCTTTCATGCGTTTTTGGAGCTTGCTGTGCTTCCTATGATTTTCTTTGCTTTTCATAACTCAATGATATACCGTACATCCCGAACAGGGCACCATATATATATATATATATATGTAACATTTGCACATCTTTACATGCTCGGGGACGATGCCTGCCACTCTCTGGTACGACAAAGAGGTAAAAGCCTAAGCTGAGTGGCAGCTACGAAAGCATTATCTTGTACTATCTATTCCATAGAGTCCAAGTAGTAGCTCCTTTTGGCACGTGCTTGGTGTGAGCTGAAAGTACCAAACTCGCCTAATTGGATCCGCCCCACCTGCGGCATCGAAGGCAATGGCCATGCCAACGCCGTCCAACCATTTCGAGGCCATATTTTGCAAGGCACCCGCCGCCTGCGACGTCGCCGATCCGTCAGGTGCGACAGACGGAGTTTTTCACGATGGGTGCAAGACGCATGGTGAAAAATGGGACATATATCCCTAAACACTCCATGTACGGTATACATTGACCCCCAAAACCACCCCAATGTAGGCATATATATATGGCATACAAGGAGTGTTTGGGTACTAAATATTCATTGGGGCTCAGATGTTCTCATGTTTTCATGTTAATTGTGTTTATTTGGTTTTCGTAGTTGCCAGGACAATCAACTTTCTAAAGCCTTCTTTGAAGTGGTCTTCGTTTGATTTGGTCAATCTGGGAGGGATAATGCAAATATATGCAAATGATGAATTAATGTCTGTTCATTCTCCCACCACCTTTGAGCGTGTGTCCTGTCTACTGCACGCTCTGTATGGTGCAAGAGGATCTAGTGAATCCAGCTACCATCAAGAAATATACCCTCTCACTCTGGACCAAACAAAAGCAACAATTTATAATGCGTCCAACTACCATGAACCGCTCTTTGGAGGCACACAAACACAAGGGGCGGGGTTACCTGACTGTCTGACTTCGCCCAAAATCCAACAAGCTGACAAGCTGCAGCCTCAGCAGTCGAGTCTACTCGTCTACTCGGTCTTCGGCCTCCCAATATCTGGAGTAGGCCGATTGAGTCTTGAAGGCCACCAACAAGCCCACCACGACCGCGAAGAGTTGGAAAGCATAGGGATGTCCCAAGAAACCTGAGAGCGCGTGGTTGGTAGGCAGCCGTGGTTGTGAGGCCAGAACGCCCCCCAAATCCTCAAGTGACTTTGTTGTCATATATTTGCAGTTCAAGGTAGCAAAGCGCATCGCTGAACGCATGACAAAGAGCTTAACATGGACAAACTTGAGTATTTCACAGGCGCTCAGTCTGGACCCTCCGTTCAGTAGGAGCCGAAAGAAACAGGCTGCATTGGTCTTTTCACATCCGAAAGATTTGTTGTAATGTTGTATGAAGTGGTGAAAGACATGACACATCAGAAAACCATTTCTTTGGATGCTGAGTGGCTGTCTGTCATGTTGTCAAAGTTCCCTTTTTGTGCGTAAAATGTTTGGCCTCCCTGGGTGGTTCCACGAAAGTGATCTACATAGAGGAGAATGATTAGACTCTTCCAGAACGCCCATGCAAGCTAAAGATAGTATAGTAGTAGTAGTAGCAGTAGTAGTAGTAGTAGTTAGTAGTAGTACGGTAGTAGTAGTTGTTGTCGTCGTTGCTTCTGTAAACAGACCTACTTGGATCCGATCCGATCTGCATCGCCATGCATTGACCGAAAAGGGGGGCATTCCAGGAGGGCGGTGTGCGACATTGAGACCAAGGCCACCGGGAAATCCTGCGCATGAGTTTGACCGGGATCATTCTGGAAGAGGACATGGCTGGAGAGCAGGACTCTTTGGGAATGTCAAGGTTTGAGCGGGAAGAAGTAAGTGAATCATGTGACACACAAGGAACAGGAATCATGCTGGTCAGCAACACTAGAAATCAATTTAGTTGCACAAACACTAGTTTGCTTAGGAGACTGCAGGAATCTCGTCTCCTTAAGGGGTGCATGAGTCCCAAATGCTCCAAACTCCTTCATGTTTTTCTATAGCTCCAAACTCGATCCTGGAAACAAAAGACAAAGTAAACACTTAAAACTTAAAACACGTTGATATCTGACAATCTTACTAGTATTGCTCCTCTCAATCTTAGTTGGCTCCTCTATTCTTCCTTGACTAGTGTGTTGTGTTTTCAATTACTGATTGGTTGTTTCTTCTTATTTGGTCCATCCTTTGTTGAACACGGTTTGCTCTATCAGTTCTACCTTTGGCTCTCTATTCTCAAAAGTTTTTCTCTTGTACTCAATAGCTTTCTACTTCTCGCTTAGCCAATCATGACTGGTCAAAGGCCCTATTGATTTCGATACAGTCCTTCTTACATAGATTTTAGCCTATAATAAACGATTCAAGGACAGCCTTACTGGCAATACTCCAAAGATAGATAGAAGAGGATTGATCGTTGCAGCACTCCTAGAGCTCCTTACTTAGTCACTCCCCTACTAAACAAAGGCTCTTCCTGTCTTGGCTCTGTACTGGCCAGCATTTACTATATGTATTAAATGGTTCCTTCTTCTTCAGTTTGTTCCCTGCTTGTTCCAAAACAACTGGATTTAGATGCCAGCCACCTGGGTCTAAGTCCAAGCCAAGCCACCTGCATTCAAGGTTAAACATGTTATATATGTTCGGGAAAACTCTTGGAACAAGGTCCTCCAGAATTGATCTGGAATAATCATGGAAGCGCAGAATTGAAAGATGCAAACACAAAAACAAATTGAGAAGTACACTGGAGAATGGACTAGTTTGGAAATCATTGTTCTTGTTGTAAAATGTGACACTGAACCTAATGTTATGAAATGGTGACTGGATTCACAAACGATGACACATGTCTCTAGAAAGGACTGTTGTGAGAGGAGGTGTATCCCCCCAAGAAAGGAACGCACTTTCCCACCAAATGGTTGTCACATGATTTTACTGTTGACGTGATAAATCATACGCAAGGAGTGAAAACATGTAACAACCCATCCCAAGTGATGCATGATTTTCACACTACCCCCACTGACGGCACAGAAAACGCACCTAACGACTAGACTTGCAAAAGATCAAAAGAACAAGGAACCCTTATGTTCCGCCCACAGTCACCTTCGCCCCAGGCGTCCAAGAAACCGTCGCGGTTCCTCATGACCACATCCGTCTCATCATAGAGGCCCAAAAAAAATGCTGATTCCTGCCCGCTTGGGCGGCGCTGTGGCAAAGACCCAGGCAACGTGCTGGACATTTTGGAGGGGGGGTCGAACCTTCCCGTTGGAAAAGAAGAAAGAAACAAGAAAACACAAGTAACAGTTGACAATGTGCATTTATATAATACATATATATATATACATACGTGTTCATTAATCATTAATGTATCATTCAAATTAAATCCATGATTGGTTTCTGTTGTTGTTTCCATGAAGGCGACAACACCATCAATAACATGCAACAACCAAACCAAACAAACAAACAAACACACACACACACAAAAAAAAACAACAACCAAACCAATCAAACAAACACAAACAGCAACCAAACAACCAAACAACCAAACCAATCAAACAAGACCGAAAAACAATTCCCAAGTTGAAGTGTACCATGCTCTCGTTGTTGAAATTGGTTCTCCAACAAACCATGCCATGCACTGCACCTCCATGCTTATTGGCAGAGGGCAACGGCCACAAACACACAATGTTTCACACTCACTCTCCGTTTGGCTGATCTGCCCATATTCACAAAAACATTGTGAGCAGAAAAAGGACCAACGGAACTCCGTCACATGTGAATCAAGTCCATATAGTTACAAAGCTCGGGTCCAGCTATGTTGTTTCCTCTTGGCGAACCACTGGGTGGTCGACCTCGACCATTCGTGCGCAAACGCGCAGAGCGGTGGGTGAACTCCCAAGACCGGACGGGTCGTTCAAAGACCACATGTGCCCGTTAAAGCTGGCGCCGATGGCCAACATGTGGTTGTTTTTACTGACCACAAAAACTACCAAATCAATCCAAGTAGAGTGCAAACCTGGGTTCTTCCAAGTGACCTTTTGATCCCCTGGTCCGAAATTACCAAAAGGCTTGCTTTACAGGACACTTAATAATCCGGTCCACCTATTAATAAACACGGGCCCACCCCCCCCACCCCCTAATAAGAGAAGCTCGGTCGCATTTTTTCAAATAGGGGGTCCCTGAAGTCGGGGGGGTCCAAAATAGGATCACCTGGGAAGAGCTTCAAAACAAAAAAGTAAGCCCTAAATATTTTATATAAATCCTTTATTAAGCTCGTATCAAAAATTCAAACCTCCAGATCGAAGGGTCTTCCTTTTCCCCTACAAGACCCTTTATTAGAATACTGATTCATTAGACTGACAACCAAAGCTTTCGAACGGTGATGTCGCTGTGCCATGCGGTTTTGCACGACCTCGGTGGCAAGTGCGTTTGCGTGAGTCCGTGCCATTGGAGGAAGGAAAACCTGCTGGTGTAAACGCGGCGTGTCATGGTGGATGCACAGGGCGGACAAATGTGGGCAGTTACCGCTGTTTTTGGAACCTAATAAAAGAAACTACCCCCAAAATCGACCATGTTGGTAGTTTAGTAGCGGTTTGAAAGGGCGGTAGTTTAAAAACAAATATACGCCACATTTAGGGTTTCGGACGGTGTGTTTTTTTTAAATTGGGGAATGTTTATTAATAGGTACTCGGGATTAGTAAGGACTCCAAAAATGCTCACAAATTGAAGAAATGGCAAGAAAAAAAACATGTCCATTCCACCCCAAACTTTGCTGGCGCGCCTGCGGCCAGGAAGCCTGGGGCCAAGGCCCCAGGCCAAGTGGTGCCCGTGATGCGAAGCAAAAGCCAAAAACCGAAGCAACCCTGGCGGCGTCGCTGCCGTGGAGGGCTGGGGATAGGAGTCTAGAGTCTAGAGTGGGGGATAGGGTGCGCACAGGTGAGCACAAAGGGTGATGGTTCAACGAAATGAAGGCCTTTTAGGCCATCATAAGCCATTGGAGTTATATACCTGGATCTTCTATTCCTGGACCCGACTGCTTGGTACCTTAAAAGATGGGTACCGTCGTACCTGTTTTGGGTTTGGATCATGTCCCATTTCCGTTTGGGTACATTGAAGTTCGGATCCAGGTGCATCTGTGTGGATCGACTGCGTTGCCGTACCAGGTTCGTCCAAGTGCCTTATATATTCAGCAATACTTGGACCAACTACCAGGGAGGTCTACAAATGGTTGACCACTGACCATGAACGAATCCTACCAGGGAGGTCAAGTCCCGGGCTCGTGTGACCCACGGCCACATAACACTCAGAGTCTGCAGGTTTGGACGATTGTTCAACGGAGCTCCGTGCATTCGGCCCCCGCGACGCTCGCAGGGCCCTATAGATGCTACATGGCATTGCTTGCCTTCAGCCCAGCCCTTGGATTGGCTGGTCGGTGCCATCTCCTTCTACTGAAGGCTGGATCTGGGGAGTTAAAGAACCTTTGTGATCAATCAGTGCTCAAACCACTTTCGTCGCTGCAAGGCGTGTCCTTCACCAGTTTTGAGGGACAAACAACCTGCAAGACCGCGACTGTACAAGAGATGAAACGGGTCTAGACCTAGACATGCATAATGCCATTTGGCATCGATGTGGAGCAATGAGACTAGGAACTGGCACTTGGATCAACTGTTGCAAGCTTTCTCCACCCCCTGAACTTTTTCGCCAGGATTCGAATTTCAGGAACAGGAACCAAAGCAAACAAGCCAACAGCAAATACCAGTGGCAAGAAACAACGCACATGCTCCGGATTAGCTATTGGCTGTCTGGATGTATTCTTCTCATGTGAACATGTTTCTTCACTTCCACATGACCCAAACACATACTTTGCAATTTGTTTGCAATAAAACTGCACCTCTCCATGGTGATTCCTGGGTTTAGCATCCCTTACCCTACCCATCCCCTGGCGATTGCGGCGACCTTGTTGTACGTGATCATGGCTCAACCCGCCACGGATGGCAGTCGCTGAACAGGCATCGTGCGTATGATGGATATCAGGCGCATCGCAGGCATATCTGCCATTTGACGTCTACTCTCTGAAATCATCGTTTGACCGAAGCAAGGGCTGAGAACATGGGGTCGAGTCTGGCATGGCATCACATGGCTTGATTCGTGTCCAGCTAATTGATCGACCTTGGCCAAATTCAACGAGCCAAAAGTGGACCGCAGCAACTGGTCCAGTGTCCCCTGCTCCCCGGAATATCCCCGGAACTGCCCAACATTGCCAGACCACCCCTCAAAGAAAGATCCATAAAAATCCTCTCCCAAGCAAGCTCTGATGTAATTATTCAGGTTGTGTTGGTTGGAGAAACATCTTCCCACCAGGAGCCATCACACCAAGCTCGCCAACACACTGGGCGAGTCAAAGCACTCTTTTCCATGAAGCAACGTAGCAGGGGCGGCACGGGGCTGCGTGAGCTCTTGCGTCTGTTCCTGGGCAATTCGACAAGGTTTCCACCAGTGAAACTTAAGAGTTCAGATGTGTCATACAAAAAAAGCACGTTCTCCCCTCACGAAGTCATGCTTGGGCCGTTTTTGGTCGCAGGCTAGCGTGTTCCTTTCGGTTGATGAATGGGGTTGGCTGCCTGGTGGCTGATGAATATCTCCGGTGTTTGGACACCAACTTGAGTCGAGCCGCATGCGTCGCACGTCGCATGCTTCGACTCGCAGCAAATTATCCCACGAAAAAGGGACCGGACCGACCTCGGTCCGTGGAAAGACCGCTGGATTTGCAGACCAAAAGGAACCAAAAGGAACCCTTGGAGCTTTCCGTAGACAGGTCCAGTCCAAGTTCCCTGGGCTCCTTTGAGCGAGCAGAGTACTAGACGGACCATTTGTAGCGATGGTCCACCGTTGGTCCGTGCAGAGTCCTCTTTGGTCTCCTTTGGTGCCAGAGAATGACGGATGATGATGATCCTGGTTTGGACATGGCAAGTGAGGTTTGAGGTCAAGGTTGGTTGGTCAGTTGTTATACTCTCAAAAATATCCCAAACACTCTTGCAAATCTCAGGTCCGCTTTTTGGCATCCTGCTCCATTCCAGAAATGGCATTGCCGAGTCCATCTTGACTCATGTGTCACCAGACTTTGCTGGAGTTTCCTCTTTCTCCACTCTTCGACATTGGATGATTTGGCTCAAGCCGGGATAGGTCTTGTCAATGTAGCTGTTGCCACCAGCCACAAGCACCTGGGTCCGCACCTGGGGCGCTTCGGGTTCAAATCGAAAGTGAAGGACTTCGGATGGAGATGAAGGCACTTCATCACTCAGTCTTCAAGGGACTTCAGCCCCCAAAACACATAACTCAGCAACTACTTCTCAGCATGGCCGACTTTCTTCAGTGTATCCATCCTTCAATAAAGAAACACCTTCCTTTTCAAACCAACTTCCCCCGCAGAAAAACACTCGCGCCTGCGCCTTTGCCTGAGAGGCGCCTCCAGCGAAGAAGATATCGCCATGCGCCATGACGATGTCGCTCAGCTGCCCCCCTTCCCAGCGCTCGACACGGCCCACCTCGCCTTCACCGAGACCAACCACTTCGGCGAAGGGCCAAAATCCCAGAGAGTCTAAGCGTGCAGAGTTGTCCACCAAGTTGATGAAGACCTCTGCATCGGGTGCCCAGAAAACAGAAATTGTTGTCCAAATGATGTTTTGTTGGAAGACTTGTTGGAGCCAAAGCACGAGTGGATGAGTGAAAAAAGGTGGTAGTTGGGTGGTAGCCATGTTTTTTTGGTTCTTAAGTTCTGAAGCTTGATAGTGCAGCTGGATTCACAATCATTGTATAATTGCAAATTGTAACTCAAAGGGTCCAGTTTTTGGAGGACACATTGCAAAACAGGTGTGCATATTCACCCTGTCGCAGACCTCCGTCTTGGTGGTTCCATCATCCTCCAAACCAAAACACATTCTTCCTGCCAGATTCTTGGGCTGTTTGGCGCCGGCGGTTTTTTCCATCTCGCAAGGCTTTGCCCAGGGCAACTCGCTGTAGAGCTGGCTGTGCGGATCTGTGCTATTGGAGCTCCCAGAGCAGGGTCCGTAGTTCCAATCCAACACGAAGCCTTCGATGGCGCGGCAAAAATACTGGCCATCCAGGAAGTGCGTGTCCACAAGTTTCAGGAAGCGATCCTGAGTGTTCTTTCTTGAAAGTGAAAACAACACACAAAACGGTTGAGTAATTTTGAGTAGCTCTGCCAAAGAATGGGGAACCCACAGAGAATGGTCTTTACGGAGAACAAATGTTAACGAAAACATGGTTAGAGCCGGTTAGAGCTAGGTTCAGTCATGTTCAAACCAAACCCAGCAGAGTATAGGGTCAAAGCAAAGTGCCGTCAATCACCCCTTCGTCAAGTCCACATCCCAAGACACTCCATGAGACTTCGGCATATTGACCTATATAATATAAATATACACTATACATTTAAAATGGCCTGAAATATCTGAAATGGGGTACTGCATACAATACCATCCACTGTGGTGCATCTAGGGCATGTAAACATGACTCAAACATGTTGAACATTACATGTTGATAGATGACGATTGCATGTTGATTATCTGGTGTGGCGGCCCTCCCCCCACCACCCCCAGCAGCTGCCAGAGTCAGACAAATGTGGGAGATGCCCTCAGGTTCGGGTGGCGATCCTATGACTCTTGGCACATGGGTGGATGAGAACCATCGCCCTTGGCGAGGATCTGACATTATGACATCCGATCTGGACCACTTCCAGCACATGCCCTTGAGAGATCTCTGTTGTGGAATCCACCAAAGCCCTGAAAGGCTACAACAGAAACAAAGCAGGGCTGTGACAGCGATGGGTGTGGCCAACCAAGACAAGTCAGGAGGGAACAAACACTACCGCATCACGCGTCAGTCATTGCACGTATCAGTAGTCATTAGCAAAAGAGAAGCTCAACGATCATTGGTAATAACGGCAGTGAAGGCTTGCGACCAGGAACAGGCGCAATGCTGAACCCTGCTTTGCGCCATTGAGCCTCTTGAAGCATGCAAGATGGGGAGACCAGCGCAAGCCCGAGTGTGAGGCTATGGCTACTTAGACCGGCTGACTGTTCATGAAACATGTGAACTTGACAGCCGACTGGTGTGACCAGGAGAAGATTGGCCCTCTGCTGCCAGTCTTGGAAGTACACTTCTGGGTCACAGGTGTTGAACGTGGACTCTTGCCGCAAGGCTTGCGACAAACTTCAGGATGACCAGCCGCTGCTAGAAGAGAGCGGCATTTCTGCAGAGGGTGCACGTTGTGGATGACAAGGAGTCCTTGTCATTGAAAAATCGTTGAGACACACCAGACCATACACACCACCACGAGGCGCCAACACGTAGCAATTCGCTCCCCTGCAACAAGCCTGGCTTTGAGACGTTTGATGCACTCTGCTCTGTGTTCACTGGGCGTTCATACCTCAACGCTGAGAAGCCCCAGGTTCTTGGAGTATACCGTATACCCACCACGAATCATGAATCCAAACCTTTTTCCTTAGACTCCTCTGCCGCAGCTGGATGTGGAAGTGGACAGCAGCAGCAGCAGCAGCAGCAGCAGCCCAAGCTCCCCTGCCTGCTTTAAATTAACAAGTTTCAATTATCTTGTGGGAAGTGTATATTCACATGTGCTAATTGCAGCGCAGTCCTTGGAGTGTCTGGCTATATCTTGGATCCCAGTCTCTTCTCCAATGCCAAATCCATAAAAATCCTCTCAAAATCTATCAAAACCAACCCAAAGATCGCAGGACCAGGGAGCCCAACCTGGATGCAGGTCCAGGAGCAAATAGCCCCTGCGATCCCCACGCGTCTCATAATCGATACGCACCCGCACAGTGGAGTCGTCTGCTTCAGGTGACTTGCCGGCCATGGGAGCGCTATAGGCGTCTATTGGTTCATGCCAAAATCTTTGCAATGTCCCCAGAATCACGAAATGTCTTGCTGCCACTGGTGTCGACCTCTGATTTTGAATCCCCGATCGCCCAAGAAGACAATGACATGATGGCTCCTGATGACATTAAATTTAATCATGACTCCTTATTGATCATATGTATTTTTCACTAAGGGTCACTTGTGACGAATCCACCGGAAACGGTGTCGGTTTCCTTGACCAAAGACCACTTGTGGACTGCTTGTCGCGCCCCACAGCCAAACATCAATCCGGGGTACAGGGGGTTAGGTCCTATAGGGCCTCAAGAATCCATCGTAGGGCCTCAAGAATCCATACGGGCTCGACCTCATGGCAGGGGTCGGACCTTCTGAACCTCGAGACGATAATTAGGGGTCCAGACCCGAAGCAAAGCCTTCACATTGGAGGTGCGGGCTACAGATCATGTCGGGGAATCAAAACACAGGGGCACCGTGAAGGAGTTGTACAGATCATCCTGCATCACTGCATCCAAGTCTCTGAGAAGACGGAAAGGGCTCAATAGTCCGTTCCTCAGGAGTCGATCGAAACCGAGTCGGGGTGGTCAACGCGCACCCTGACTAACTCTAAGGAGATCTAAGTAGGGGCTATAGTAATAGTAGGGGCGCGCTGGTTTGTTTTCATGTGCTTTAAGATGTGTTTAAACCTGTTATGTCATGTGACGTGTGTGTCCTATTGATGTTAATTGGTATTTTTTTGTTGTTTTTCTCCCTCCTGAACTATATAAGGACTGCGATGATCTCCTTCTCGTGAAGATACACATTCTAAAAAAACTCCTCCTTCGGGGTTTCCCTGTAGCCCCCAACGACGTCCCTGCTGAATGGGGATTTTTTGATCTGGATGGCTCCTCCATGCTCCTCCTAACCATCAGCTGGCATTTCTATTGGTGCAGGATGGGGAAGTGGCCCGAATTTGGCCACCTGGCCGCCTCCTGCGGCCGGCCATGCTGGCGGCGCATAGCCCAGCACTGGGCAGTCATGGCCAGCACTGGGCTCTCAGCCACGTTCTTCGTCGCTCCACGTTCGGGAAAACTAAGAGTCGCTCCACGCGTCAAGACCTGGCACGGCTGGCAAGGTCGCATGGGCACCATCGGGTGCGCATAACAAGATGATTACATACATTGGATGGGTCTAATTGAATGGTCCATTTACATATATAGACATTACATATATATATATACACATTGGATTGGCCCGTCTTCAGATGGGTCCAATCCAATGTCTGTTTGGACAAACCGATCGAAGGTGCGATTGGATTACATATATTATCATATATTACATTGGATGCTTCGCCTTCGGGGGATCACCTCGATGAATCAACCAACTGAGGCCACCGCCCGACCCATTTAGGCCCGACCTCCCTGGATCAATGATGTCCTTGGGGAATAGAGTGGTTGATGCCAGGGTACCATAAACAGGGCTACGAATCAACCAACCAAGGGCGTCCAGGGCGGACATCCCAAGGGCGTCCTGATCTGTGCAGGTCCAGTCCAGTACCGGAAACCTCCGCGGCTGAGCTGCTTCGGTGCCTCCTTCCCCGAGCTCCCCAGCAAGATGGTATGCTCATACCTGGTGGAAGGGATTCACGACTTAGATCAATCACCCCGTGACCCTACCAGGGCCCGGAGGGTGATGTAGTCAGATTAGTCAGCTCTGTTTGAACGTTGGGGGCCGATTCGCCCAAAGTCCCGTTCTGGCTCCAGTGGGCGTCGGGGAGAATGACATGGCCTGAGGTCTTTTCTTCGATCCTTTTCAGCTCCGTCAAGCGAGTCTTTAAGCTTCAGGCCCATGTTATTGAATGAATGAAGCTCTTCCTGAAAGGTGGACACAGCCGCGGGACCCAGGAACGATGATCCAACCTGTCCAGTGTCAAGTTTTGGATTCTTCAAGGCACTTCTTCTCTGGTTGCCGCGTTGCCCTTCCAAGATCTTCAATGACGCCCATGCATGAAATGAATTTGCTTATAAGGAGGCGGGGAACACTCAAACCTATCATCGGCCTCACACCTGGACCTTACTTACTTATGTTTTAGACACCCAGCTTCAGGGTGCACAGGGGTCTATATATATATATTATATGTTGGGTATGTTATTATACATTGTTATATTATTACATGATCAAAATGTCAGTCTTCAAACCTACCAAACCATAAACACCAAAGAAACTCAGAACGGCCGGGTTTGAGTGAAATGACATCTGCCCATACATGCACATTGTATGTCAGAAAATATCAGAAATCATGCACAAGAAGGCTCAACAAAGCCAGTCTCTAATGAATCAAGGTACGTATCGCCACTTTGAACAAACCCGGGTCAAGATCGGCCACTGCACCTTGATTTCTTTCCCACTGGATACCAGGCAGCCATTTATTGCGTTCTAGTGGGTTTCAAGGGTTTCAAGGTCCACGGTTTTAGTTGAACCCACCATGCCCGGTGAATCCCGGAGCGGGAAGGGTCGAATGCCCGGGGCACTGCGCGGTGTAGGAGCCCTGAAGGTCGGCCAGGGGAGGATACCTGGAGCACGAGGTTCACGACCGATCTCCGGTCGATCTGACGCGAGCTGACGGGATATCGCCGTGGCCTGGCAGGTGGCTATACCAGCTGCTTCCAACGGGTCACCAACGGACAACCCTACACTACCTATTTATAGGTCTCCATTGGACACCCATTGGAAGTGCTAGGTATGTATGTATCTATGTTGCTTTGTTTGGAATGGGGCCATCTTTTCGATAATGAGCAGTCCGCGCCTTTGCCAATGTCCTGGTCAGACCCTAAGAGACTCAAAGATATGGGTCTTGTGAGTGCATTTGAACCGGCAAATGGTCCTTTAAGGGAAACATAGGCTAAAACACATGTTTGGGAGTCGGGAGTGGGATCTCCTATTGTATAGCACACACACCAGGACCCACAGCTGACCTCTTTGGAGCTATTATATAATAGGGCCCCAAACTTGAGGGCCCTGGTATTGTTGGGTTGAACACGGATCACCAACAAATCCATCCACCCGCCCTGCGCGCCGCTGTGCGCCTATTCACCACTCCGAGGTTGCAAAGCTCATCTAAGGGAGCAGACCACCACATCTGGGCAAGCACGGAGTACACCAAACTTCAAAACGTCCTCAAGTACTTCAAGACTGTTCTGAGTCCCTAAGTACACCTCAGTCTCTTAAATGACCGTTTTGTTAGATGGCTCACCGAACGGGGTTTTGCGGTGGAGAGTCCCAAAACCACGACTCTGTTGGGAGGTGCTGGTACTAGCCCCTCGTGGTCTGACTATTTCTAGTGTTCCAGGCGCATCCTCAGGTAGTTACACGCCCTGGCACCCACCCCAACCTCCTTCTGAGGATGTGGTTGGAGCCCTAGCAAGGCATATCACAACAAACATCTATGCGATCTATGTGATTTGCTTGTGGGGGTACACACGCCAGCGGAAGAAGCACCCTCAAAAGAAACTTTGGAAGACATTGAACATGGGCGCTCATCTCTTCATCTACTAATTAGTGCTGATAGTACAAACACTACAGTTACCACTGTTCCAGCCCATGCCAAACGTGCACGAGCTCGACGATATCCTATCAGGCATGGGATCAGGTTGACGGCTACAGTTACAACTCCGCTAGCACTGTTTCAGCCCATGCCAAACATGCACGAGCTCGACGATATCCTATCAGGCATAGGATCAGGTCAACGTTCTTGCTTCGAAAGTAATCATCAAACAATTGACATCCATACTCATCACTTGACTAGCAACCCCTAGGAATGCCACGAATCCAACTTCTCTCAGGTTCAGTATCCTCCTGGACCCTCTAAGACCGACCACCTACATCAAGGATCATCAAGGTGTCTCCCCAATTTCATCTCTCTATTGCGAGGGTCTCTATGGATCCAGCCTCCCTTACTAAGCCTACACCTAGACCTCGAGGTCTAGGCCAGGCGGACGGGAACGTGGTGGTTTCACCTGGCCCCGAAACGGTCATCAATGAAACAAAAACACTGACGGTGCACAATGACAGGTGGTTCTTGGGATCAGTGAAGATGATGATCTACATGGATAGACCAGCTGCTTCCCTGCGGGGTGACCAGGCTGGACTACCCTACGCGGCGCCGAGCTGGGTCTCCAAACAGGACACCGGTTGGAAGTGCTAGGTCATACAATACACTCCGACTCACTAACATGGAAGTGGAACCCCCCCTATTCGTAAAGGAAAGTAGTCTTCCAAGAGACCATGCCATCCACTTCCATGTGATGTGTTCGTCAGAGTGTAATCCTCACACATCTCCACTCATGGTCGTCCGCCCTGGCACCCGGAAGTGAATCCTTGTCAGACACCCTCTGAGCGAAGGAGTTCGAGCGGTGCTTCGTGGGGTATGAGGGCCATAGATGCCACAACCGATTCCACTTGGAAAGCATAGCCAATGACGGGGTTCTCTTCCGATTTCTCTTCAGATTTCAGCTAGCCGCTCGAACCACGAAACGAACAGAACACCAGAAAGGACAGGAGCCCTGGCGACCGTCCGCCCCGTCGCCTGGCTACCTTTGGCCATCTTCATCTTGCTGCGATCCCCCTCCTGCGGAGCGGCCGATCCAAGGAGGACACCAACCAAGTCACCGCAGTCGCGGTACTTCTGTTCGGGCACCTGCAGTCTATCTATAGCTTGTCTATCTATAGCTTGATATAGCTTGCAATGTGCGAACGCAATAGATCACTTCGGCTTTGGAATGATCAAAAGGGTGCCAGAATGCAGAACTTCATGTGATACCAAACCACCAACGATCGTTTGGCTGCATCGATGCTGGAATCTCCAACATTTCCGGCGAAGTCTTCCGGGATCGTCCACCCCAAGCATGAAGGTCCGAGGAATGGTCACAGTACCCAAACACTCCATGGCACTGTCATCGGCATTGTGTGTTCAACCTGGGCAACTACAAACTGGACATGGGAAGCAAGCACAGACATGGGATCCATGTGTTCTTCCCGTCCGACCTGCACGAGCCAGCGTGGGCAGAAGGCTAAGGTGCCGAAACGCCGGTCGATGAGTTCCAGCCTCAGACCAACCCGACCGATGGCGCACCGCAGCGAGAAGAGCCATGCTCCCAAACGCTCCAGCTCCATGCAAATATGGCGTATGCATGACAGGTTTTGGGACCATTGCATGGTTTCTTTTAAACCTGTTTTAGGCCCTAATTATTTGCGTATACATGGAACGTTTGGGAGAATGAGAAATCAAGCATTTTGCTGGACTTAGAAGCTGATCATAGCTGATGGAGCTCCAGTGCACCCGGTGCCCAGTGTCGGCCACCCGTGACCCAGTGGGCAAGACTCAAGAAAAACCCCAAGGACAGTGGGCTCAGCGTGATTTACAAGTGGTTCACATTCGCAAACCTCGTTTTTTTTCAGATATGTTCAGGTATGTTGCACTATACCAACCAAAAAAAAACACCGAGCTTGGTTCCAGGTCTGTGGTATTTTGGGGGTCCCGGCAGACTGATCGCTTTGGAGCTCAGCATTGGGCTGGCGGTGACGGCGGTGAAGCGGATGGTTGACCACTGGAAGATAGAATAAACACTTTCCCCTAGGGCCGTCCTGGCACCCACCCCAGTCCTACCGAAAGGAACGGTACGACTGGAGCCCTAGGGTTTCAATATGACAGGCCACATGTTGATCTTGCTTCGATGTAAATCACGTGTGCTTGTGTCTTTGGCTTTGGTTTAACCCATACCCATGTCAACCAGTCGTCTTCTCAAATCCTGACTTCAGAAAAACATGCCTTCTCGCGTGCTCCACCATGAACCGTGACATTTCACAGTTCACATCAAACTTTGACCCGGCCAAAAAGTGAAGGCATGGATGGAAGCTGAAAGAACAAGTTTAACCTACTACACAGTAGTTGAAGGGGCCTCGGCCTCGCATCATAATTGTGCTGTGAGATACAGTGAGCATGTCTGTATGCCTCCCACAAGAGATGCTTTGATCGATGACCCAAGATGCACAATCAATTTTAAGTTATATATACCAGCACCTTCAAAGGGGTCACCAATGGAAGCCCCTACACCACTAAGGGACCTCCATTGGACACCCCTTGAAGGTCCAGGTAGGAATGAATGCGGTTTGTTGGATGCCACAACAAAACCTGTGACTCATTGACCCACTGCGCACATTTGCCAGGAATGTGGCCGACATGATCTGTTTTTCGAGCGCCTGATGCGAAGAACACACGAAAAGGCCTTCGGTCGCAACGGGCAAAATTCCTTTGTCTTCGTCATGGCCCAGACCCGAAGCAACTTGGCACATGTTGGTTCGGTCCATGTCACCCGTTCGTTGGTTCGGGTCCAAACGAAGCCCAGAGCTGCGGACGGAGGATCCGAACGAACTGAGCCAGAAGGGGGTCGTAGCCGGGTCAAAAACGCCTTGGGGGTCGTAGCCTGGTGATCCAAAAGTACCTCATCCGAAAGCATTGCTGCCTTTGGTGCGGCAAAGCAAGGCGGATCGCTGCAGGGGGCCCCCTGCCTTTGCCATGTCGGTGCTGCGCTCGATGGGCGCATGAAGTGCGAGCAGTTGCCTGGGACACGTTGAACAAGCTCAGAGGAGAGGAGAGGATGAGGATGAATGCGGGTGTATTGCACATATTTTTGTCACGTACATACCTGGAACTTCCTCAGTGTGCATTCTTTTTGGATCTGCGTGCAAACAATATTTTGGAGTCACGGCCTTATCTTTGAGTCTCTGGGTATTTCTCGAGTTACTAGTTTTCTGATTTTTCTTATTCCACAGGCGCTTATACACAAACTATGGGCGGTTATTGGTGAGCCACTGGCATTTTTACGAACGTGCTTCTTCAGCCTATGTTCATTTCGGTTGCGGATGTTAGTGTGGTTCACGGACCTAAATAATAAAGGTGTGTCGAACTACCTGAGTCTAGGACCATCCTTTGGTGGTCCCCCAAGTTGTTCAAACGAGTCCTTCAACTATGTCTTTTCCTTTCGCCAGTTTGCCGTGGATACCCACCCGCCTCCGTTGCCCACGTAGCCGAAGCCGCCCACGGAGCCAAAGGTTTCCACCTTTTCGACGTCCGGAGGAGGCAAAGCTCGATCGAATCGACTGCCTCGGGTGAGACCAGGCGACACCAGATCCGGTTTTGGAAGTGGTTGGGATGGTGCCAGAAGGGTGAGTCCCTACCTGAGGACGTGTAAGACAAACCCCCTTTTCTACGGATCCATTGGCACCTTCTGAGAAGGTGAGCAGGGAGACTATTTATTATGTAGACTTGGAGGGCCCAGTCTTACCTTCTGAGAAGGTGGATCCCTAGGGCTTAGAGGCTGAGGGGTGTCTATAAACGAACCCGACCGTGGGTGCAAAAAGATCCTTCAAAATGGTGAGTATGCTGTTATTGGTTTGGGTCATGTCCTGTTTTCAGGGTACGAGGTCCGGCAGCGGTCCAGGTGTGTGGATGAGAGTGAGGACCCCCCCAAAAAAAGACATGGTAATTGGTTTTGTTCAGGGGTCTTCTAGATACTTTAATATATGTGGGAACTAGGAGGGACCTGACCCCTAATCATGAAGAAGGCAAGTCGTCTTCCCAATGCCCGCTGCCATGCCATGTTCATCAGTGTATACGCTGCATAGAGATTTGTCCAAGCATCTTCTCCGTTGAGAACAAAAACTCAATGTCACTCTCTGCAGCATGACACTCTCAGCCCTCCACTGCCCACAACTCTCCGGCCAGCATCCGTGTCTGCAGGGCGCGGCTGGTACGAGGCAAAAAGGAAGACTCTAGCACAAGACAGCGCAACACATAAGGTTCACCAATGTTCACCAACGAAAAACAGAAGGCTCTGTCGCCAAATGTGCATGTTCCCCGGCTCAACCAATGGGGCTCTGGTCTTCTTAATTTATCCTAGCATAAAAATAGAGTATGGCGGAGAGTTCCATATCATGCCTATTTCAGTTACAACTGGGCAAATAATTTGGTTCACGGAACCTATACCAAGAAGGTTGGCTCTGCAAAATAAAAATGAGAAGGTTTGACCCACGATAACAGGCACAAAGCCAAAGCATATAATTAATACATTATATACCTTATTATACATTATAAAACCAAGGTGCCAAGGACCCAAGGACCAGGATCTTGTTGTGTGCCAGAACCTGCCAGAACCTGCCACAACTGTGAGCTCTTGTCTTGGAGCTCGCTTCAAGCCGTTAAAGAAACACATGTACATAATTATGCCCTTGATGCATAGCACGCATGCGAACGGTGATGCCTAACGTAGTCGCCATCCGCCGCATCTGGATGCATGTAGCATGTTCTGCAGATCTCGGTTAGAAACGAAGGCCAATCAATCTAGGACGCTCTGGATCATCTGAATAATTCGTTCAACCTCCCCTCAACAAGCGTCCACTTCATTTGGGAAACCAAACACCAAAGGTTTAGCACGGTGATGCAGGTCGACTGACTGATTGACTGGGAAGGTATCTCAAGTCCCCCAGAACCGAGAGCAAAGAATACCCTCAAAGTTTTGCCATTGACCTGGGCAAATCCGTTCCTTTCAGATCCATACGCCGAAGCAACCTGTCATGTTGTTCATTGGACTGTATTTGATTCCCCGACCACCTGATTTGCATGGTGGCATAGTAGTAAGCCACTAACTGTTGATTGCTGCAACCATTGAGCTCCAAGGGATGCACATTAAGTAGTGAGTCCGCGTCAAGCAAGTCACAAAACCACAAACCCAACTCCATCTCACTCCTGAAAACATAGAGTATACCAAGGATATGAAAGGATGTAGCATGGTCTCCTGAATGCCACAACTATATAGTGAATTACAGTGCTTAAAGAGTTCTAGCTTCTACCTCGCTGGCTGCAATGCCAACACAACAAATTACGGATCACAAATGGCACCAACAAATGTCGAACCTCAAAAGAGCCTTTGTGGTTCTTTGTGCAGGAATGTTGACTCCCACTTTTGAACACCTAGAATGGCGGCTTTTGGACCACCAAACAGCCCAGTCTTTTCATGGTATTTTCCCAAACAGAAGACCCGGACCAAGGCCTGACCATGAGGTGCCTATGCATAATCCCCTTAAAGAGGTGGTTCGGGGTGTCCAAAAACCACCCAAGTCCCGTGGGCTTTTTGGGACGCAACTCCCGGCCGTTCCCGGCGGAGCTCGCCTGGTCCCCCGTGTTCACCGATGGTAAAGACCTCCGCGACGAGTATCGACGAGCGTGACCGGTTACCGCGCACGTATCGACGGGATGGTTCTCGGATTTGACGGTCGCGCACGAGTTCGTACCTTGGACAAAAACATGGTCACATCACATCGAAATGAAACGACGAGCCGCAAAAACAGGTGCGACTGCACGAAAATGTGGGATGAAACCAAGGGAACGGCGGTGGAGATGTGGAAGAAAGACACTATAAATGCCCTTTTGGGAGTGGATGATGATGGTTAGGTTGCAGGCCTTTCTCACAAACAATATAATCCATATCATATTTGATCATGTTTTACCCACTTGTACTGGAAATGTGAATTTGTCCTAGCCCCTACCCCCTTTCAAAAGATTGCTTGGGGGTTCCAGCAAGGACCTGGTCGTACCATCCGGCCGGTTCCGAAGAGTGGTTTGCCCATCACATGAAACACGGTCGAAGAGCATCCCCATCTTTTCTCTTCCGTTGGCCCGTTCCAAGCACGTCTCTGGCTTCTGATCGTCATCTCACGGCACCAAATGGTGGGTCAAAACCTCGGGAAGACATCCCTTATAGAGGAATCTGCTCATGTTCAGTGGTCAACCATTGACCCACAGTTAGTTTTGGCCGACTTCCAGATGAAGGTCAGAGCCTAGTTCTCAAGCCAACACCGGGGTCCCCTGCTTTCCTGCATGGATCTTGTAAGGACCAATGAGGTGCCCCGTGAGGTTCTTGATCACCTGCGACACGAAGCCTGCCTGCCTCTGGTGTTGGATGCACCGATCCAGGATGAAGAGGCGGATGAACACAAAGCTGATCAGCTGATCAGTGACAAAATGTAGGGTTACTATACGCTCTGACTTTCGAAAGAATGACACATTGTAATGTAGTGTTGGGAAAATAGGAGAACACGATCCCGCCAGTGTCAAATACGCACGTGCCGTCGCTTGGAGTTGGTGGCGGAATGATTGAAGTGAGTCTTTGCTCAAAGAATTGTATTGTAAGAATCATTATCATTGTCCAGAATACCGTGGATGGGCAGGAACTCCCGGTACTTGGATACGTAGGTGAATGGCACGACTTCCAAGAGGACATGCAAATGCAAAAAATGATAGACAATGTATTGCTCCTTGTGGTCATCGGAAAGACAAGATTTTGCAATAGTAAACAACATACACGTCTTTGCAGAATCTAAACCCACCATCTCCCAGCAAGAGTTTCCCACCCTCTGTCGACAAAAATGCACGACCAAACATCCAAAAGCAACCCGGCTTGATGCCACCTTCACCGGCAAGACCTTTCCGTCCGGTCTATGTACCTGGTCGGTGCCAGGGCAGTGAAAGCATGCAGCTCTCCAGCTTCTGATCCGTGTGTCACCCATCTCCTGGTCCCTAGCCTTCCAAGACTCCAAGACCATTTAAAGAGCTTGGTTGACCTGGCACAGTCTAAAATCCTTAGCAAAACAAGGTTTCTTCGGTATAACATAACATCAAATCGACAGTGCAAATGTTTTGTTTTAGTTCTACCAGCTGCTACCTCAGCTACAATGAACCTTTCCTACGATTGATGCTTCAAGGGCTGCTTGGAAGTCAAAGTATATATTTTGCACTGGCTGGTTCCATAAATATGCGTCTTGGCTCTGAGCATGTCTGATTCGCAGGCCTGCAGAACAAGGGCTGGCTCCTGCAGTTACCTGATTACTTGTAACATCTTGCAACTCATTGCTTATCTGAACCCCAAAAATCACTAAAGGTCTTCCATGGTCTTCCTGATTTCACATGTCCCACCTTTCCCCCACATTCACTCGGAATGCTCCGATGCCCCTGCCCTCAAACTCTTCGGGCTGTTTACACCACTGGTGTGGCGCTTTTGAGGTCTTTCCCTCCCTTTTTCTTCCGACCCTAGGGCTCCAACCATATCCTCAGAAGGTGGTTAGGCCCCCCAAACCCACCCCAACCACCTTCTGAGGATATGGTTGGAGCCCTAGGGCGATGTTCTTCCAACTGCGCTGAATGGCGCCGCGCCTCGGCCGCTTCCATGACCTCCTGGATACATCGGCTCACGTGGCTGATCCGCACATCGTGGCCTGCCTGCCTGATCCGCGGATCCGGCTGGAACAGGAGAGATTTCATAGGGTATCTCATGGTATCGCATATCTGCCAGACTGCAAGAGGTGCAAGTTTTGTTGGACCCAGAACCAGAACCAAAAGGAGCCTCCCAAACCAATGCTTCGTTTTCAGAGGCCACCGCTGGTGGGCTTAAGGCACCTTGAGGGAGGAGGTATGTAAGTCTCTCCTGGGAGCTCTTGGGAAATAGCAGGGCAAGTACCCGCGTATACAGGTGCCTGGACACTCAATTCATCTACAAAGCAATGGCCTTCCAGGGCCTAGCTTCCCAGCACAGGATCTGCACTCCCGATACATTCCAAAACCGAGCCATTCAGGGATGTACGTCCTTTCAACTTCTTCAAGTCACGACTATTCCGACTATTCTGTTCATGACCTGGTAGGGTGGGTGGGGTAGTACCTGGATGATCCAAATCCCTTGGAGATGAAGACGTCTCTGTCTCTTATGATCTTTGTGTTCTTTCCCATTTGAACTGCTTCAATTGTTTACCTGCTTTAGTTTTCCACCAGGGTCTGCATGTTTAGAACATGAAGCTTCCAGAGCTAGTTGTTGGAGGCTCCGAACTGTCACCCCCATTCCCGTGTGGTCTCGGTTGTCGTTGCCTGATGCCCTCTTCTGTTGCTTCCTGCACCGCTCGCATAAGCCTCAGTGCTGGACCATCCGCTTGAGCGAAGGAAGCGACACATGGGACTCCCATCTTTTGCCGATGAGTCGGGGTTTTGGGGGGTCATTGTAGGCATATATTCCATACATGGAGTGTATGGGATCAGCGCAGTGCTGCAGTGAGACGCTACAGTGAGACGACGAACGCCAACAGAGCTCGAGCGCCATCCGTCACGAGTCAAAACAAAGCTGAACCATCTTGTCTGGGTGTCCAATGGACTACTCTACACTAGCTACTTGGGAATCTCCATGCGCACCCGTTGGATGGTCCTGACATACATGTCTTTAGGTTCAGTTTATACATCCTATTTAGGGGCGCTGACTGCTTGATCTGGACACGTGATTTGCTGAGTCTGCAATCTGAGGACGCCAAATTGGTGCATGAATATAGATTTTTTCTCCTAAGCCACTGGGGACGAGGACAAAAAGATTCCCGTGGACCCAAAAGGTTCCGTGAACTTTTTCAAGGTGACACGACGGGACTCCCGGCTCATCGTGCATGGGATCAAAAGACATCGAGAAGGCGCAATCCAAGATGTGGCCCTCCACCTGAATCCATGGCGACGGCGTAAGCTCGGACGCCGAGGTACGCTAGGCTTGGCTCGGCTTAGGCAGTCACCAATCGTTTGGACCGGACTGGCCAGAGCTTTGGGAATTATATACAATGGATCCATCCTCTTTTTAGCCGCCCATTCCGGGGAATCACAATACTTAAATGAAAACACATATGTGTTTGCACCGCCCAGAATGGGTGAATTTTCAATGCTCAGTTGCTGGAACGATCATATGCCCTCAAATTTTGTCAAACAAACAACTGAAAACACCATGCAAACATACAAGCATACAGAAACAAAAACAAACAACTCCACCAGCACCCTCCAACAGGCTGTCAGTTGAGGGTTGTTGGACCCTGTCCCAGGTCGAACCATTGGCGACCAGTTGATGTTATCCCTGATGGCAGAACATCCATCCCCCGGGGCTCCAAACGTGAACGCCGAAGTCAATCTTCAGCAAATCGGCCTACAAAAACCGCCGATGTGAGCGCTGCTTTTCTCAACTTTTGGGGGAGGTGTCAAAACACACAGTAGATGAGTGATGATGAGTAGATCGGTAATCTTAAATTCATGGATGATTGGATGGTAAAGCCTGGTAGATGGTTGAATGGTTAAATGGTTGGATGAATGGTCAATTCCAACGATCAACCCGAATTCTGCGCGGTGAGGAGGCTCGCCAGCTCTGCGGAACCGGACGGGAGTCCAGTCCGTGAAGTCAAAGCGTCTGAGCATGTCTGTGGGTAGAGGAAGCTATACTATAGGAACAAGGACGCTTTTTTGGGGCTCCTGGCCTTACTACTAACAAGAAGCTATTAGTGACAAGGATTAGAATCAAAAAGTAGAATTAGTATTCAATTAGAATTGAATTAGAATATGTTAGAATTGCTTTCTTGTTCACTGGGCGACTTTTGTGCCTCCTCAACGCTCCTCAACGACAACTGGACGGCCAACTGAACAGGGATCGCCAAACAGAACCAATGGGGCCGGCTTTGTTTGAGGGGAATTCTGGAAGCCCCAGCCCTTGGAAAAACAAATAACAATTATTGTGAGTCAATGGATGTCAATGGCAACTGTGGCCGCCCAACCCCCAATGGTTTTATAAACGACTCATGCTACGCATCCTGTGACACCATGGCCCAAGAAGTTCGACTCATGACCTGCATACCCAATGGCCATCGACACCTCCAATGGCCTTTCGTCCCTTTTCTGGCATCCACGCTATTTCGCTCCATCCGGGCACCCCGAGCTGGTCTCAAATATCTGGCCGGGTCGCAGGGGTTCACCGTGTCGTGTGCGGCCTAAGGCGCTCGGAAGCTGCATTGAAGGTCATCTGACGTTCAGCTAGGTCACCTAGATCTTGGAGGTGAGGAAGGGCCCATGTTTCACTAGCTCACTTGGCGGCTAAATACCACCCCTTTGCAATTGGATGAGATATGATGTTCAGGGAGCGAGACGCAAGAGGACATGGAACTCAAGGCTTCCGACCTGCTGGACCTTTAGAAATGGACCTGAAATAGGGAGGCCGTGGACCAAAAGACCTTTCAACCCATGGAATTGGGGATCCCCCTAAAATGAAATGCACACCCATATCAAATACACACCCATGAAATACACACCAATTGTTTCTCCAGAAGCACCAAATCGAGAAGTGTACCAAGTCAGGTCATGCAACTTAGAGGCCAATGGAGCCCTTTTGTTCGAGCGGCGACAAAAGCGGTCGCCGAGGGTTTTGCGGGTTATGAGCCCAAAAGCGTTGTTGGGGTAGGAAGACCACCCAACATCGCTGCGCGAGCGAGTTGGTTGTTGGCCGCCATGCCGCGCGAGCGGAGCAGCGGGCCAGCTGGCGAGTCCCCGGAAGGGGAATCTTCCATGGAGTCCGCGAAGGAGGAGGGCGGCACCTTGGCTTTGGAAGATGTTCCCAGGGACCTGGGAACGATGGTGGTCGCCTCAAGGGAGATGGTCCCGGTGGGGCAGCCGGTCTCGTATGGCCCGCAGAGGCGGGAGGAGTCTCGGAAGAAGGATGGAAAAGGGTGTGGTGGGGTGGTTGCCCCACTGGTAAATCCCTTCTGGTCCCAGACGATGAAGGACGAGGCAATGCTCCGGGCGATGAGACCTACATCTCTGCCTCAGAGTTCGGCACCATCCATGGGGGAGACGACCAACGACGACTCGGTGGGCATGGAGCTCAAAGAGGTGATGAAGGCCGTGATGGCCCAGAATTCGATGCTCAAAAGGGAGCTGGCTGACCTGAAGAAGAGGATTGAGGACTCCAATAAGGAGAAGGATCGGGGTTTCAAGGAGGCGGATCGACCGAGACCTCCATCGTCGACCCCTCCACCGAGTCCGCCGACAGGTCCACCACCCACCACTCCGGAGGCTGAAAGGAAGGTGGGCACAACTACCCTGGGAGCGATTCCAGAGTTTCCTGGAGATGGATATGGAGGACTACAGCATGCGGTTCATCGACCTTCGGGAGAACTTCATGAAGTTGGACGTGGACCTCCTCCGGTACCAGAATCGTGGCTGGGTGCCATTCAAGCGGGAGTTCTTGGAGGGCAGGGTCGCGGATTTGAGAACAGGGAGGGATTTGCAACTCCACATCACGGAACCCAAGGAGGGCTAGGACCGGGTCGTGGAGGACTTCCGGACTGCGCCGTGAAGAATGGGGACCTGAGCAAGGGTTCGCCGTTGGAGCAAGCTGCCCAGTCGGTGTTGAGACAGTTGGGGACAGGAGCTTCCGATGGTGGCTGGGGAGAATCCATTCGTTCGGTGGAGCTGCCGCCCCTACCGGAGATGAGAGAAGGGGAGCTTGGGTCGCTGGTGTTGGGAGATTGGATTCAACTCATCTCCCCAACTATGAGGGATTTGAGCGCCACTTCATGGAAATGGTGGGAGGAAGTCCTGCAGTTGGCCATGGCGGCTTACAGGGAATGGCTGAGAGCTGAGCCAGTCCAGCGGCTTCACATCAAGACACAAGTGCCGGCAGAGTGTGGTACAGTGTGGAGCAGGCTGGAGCAGAGGGGACAGCTTATGTTGCTGAATGCCGTGCCGAACTCCATTCGAGCAGAGACACTGGCGAACAGGGCTTCAAGTTCGGTGGACGTGCTGTATGCTCTGTTCAGGAGGTATCAGCCAGGAGGACTGGCTGAGAGATCCAGGCTTCTGCGCCAGCTGGTGGAGCCGAAAACACCACAGGGACTCAATGAGACGGTGGAACTCCTCAGGGGATGGCGGAGAAGTCTTCGACGAGCTCAGGAACTTGAGATTGCGACCCCGGATTCGACTTTGCTTCTGGGGGCTTTGGGCAAGATGTCTGAACAAATTGTCAAGGCATCGAACCAGGCAGCATTCCGGACCTCTGCTACTAGGGCGGCGCTGGGGGTGGACGTGACTCCTACGCTGGAATCCGTGCTGAACTTCGCGGATATGCTGACAGCTGAGGCAGAGGCACTGGCCATCAGCGAAATCCAGCCCCAGAATGAGGTCAAGTCCAACCCCCCGACCACCAAGGTCAAGGCAATGTCCACGGTCTTTGAGGAGAAGCCGGAAAAAGGGGCTGGAAAGTCCAAGGGCGATGGCAAGCAGGAAGAAAGAGTTTGCCGGTTCTGGGGGTCTGAAGACGGCTGCCGGAAGGGGCAAGATTGCCGGTTCAAGCATGAATGGGGAAGCCTGGAGAAGAAAGGTCGGTGCTTTGGCTGCTCCTCGACAAAACACACCAAGAAGGAGTGCCCTGCGACAAGGGTGAAAGGTGATGGAGAAAAGCAGGTGAAGACCGTCAAGAAGGAGACTGAGAAGGGTGGTGGGGCCAAGAAGAACGAGCGGGAGCCCGTGATCGAGAACCAGGCGCCCTCGGTTGAGGAGATGGTGGATGAGAAGAGAGTGGAAAAGCCGGCAGCTAGTTCTGGAGAAGTTCAAGCATTGTTGTCGGAGGCCACTACTCTCTTGAAGAGCTTGAGACCGGCTGGGGATGGTAGGGCTTCCTTGAAGGCGGTCAAGCTGAGTAGTCTGGAGGTGAAGACCACAGATCGGGCCCTCCTCGATGGAGGAGCAACCCACTGCCTCAGGAAGGCGGAGTCGGAGGAAGAATGGATGAGGGCCCAAGAGGTCCGAGTGGAGCTTGCGGAGGGATCGGTGGTGTTGAGGCAGCTTCCTTGGACGAAGACCCTTCTCACACAGAACGATGTCCAGACCATCGTGCCGCTTGGCGTCTTGATCTCGCTTGGCTATGAGGCCTATTGGGAGAAGGAGCGCTTCACGCTGACGGACCCGAGTGGCGCACTGCTGGATGTCGCGATCGAAGGCATGTGCCCTACGGTCGGGGAAGGCTTGGGAAGAGAGCTCATCGCAGAGATAGAGAGGAGTATGGTTCGGGAGAGAGCCAGGTTGGCAGTGCTGAACGGAGAGGAGAACCAGAGTGATCTTGAGCTGGGGGAGATTCACCATCTCAAGGAGCTCCGAGAGCTGTTCCCAGAAGTCCCGCTTCGCCTGCTGGTGAGGATCCTGCCGAAGGTCGGATGGAGGGGGGAGTCGATCCCTTGGAACCGACATGAGCGGAGACGTGTCCGCAAGGCTCGTGAGGTGGTGGTGCATCTCTTTAGTGGAGACACCAAGAAATATTGGCAGAGGGAGCTCGAGTCGGAAGGCAGGGCAGTTCTATGTGTGGACACGGTGATCGATCCCGGCATGAACATCCTCCGGGACGACGTCTTTGCCTACTTGCTAGAGATTGCCGACGGTGGCACCCTCCGAGCGCTGTTGGGGGGACCGCCCTGCAGGACGATGAGCAGACTGAGATATCGACAGCCGGGGCCACCTCCACTTCGAGAACGAGAAGGTCCCGGGAGGTTTGGATTGCCGAACCTGGATCCGGTGCTGAGGCAACAGGTGGAAGATGACACCCTACTCTGGTTGAGACAGATCTACCTTCACCACCGGGCATCGAGAGCGGCTCAACCTCGAAAG